TAGCCTACTTTAAAATTTTTAATAAGATTCCTTAATAAAAATATACATGAAAAAATTCTCTCCTCATACATAACTCTATATCAAATGAATTTAAGTTACCTATTTCCTCATCAAACTCAGTCAAAATTCTATCATTTACATGCCTAAACTCTATTTGTGGTAATGTTTGTAGGTTGAAATGGCTTTTCAAGGAGCACAGGATTTATGCAAGCCCAATATTACTCACACCCATATAACAAAGAAAATACACACAATAAGAGATTTATTTCACTAGTATAATGGTTAAAAATGTGAACACTGGTTAGATCTGGTTCAAATCCTGTCTCTTCCATTTGTTATTTGTGTGATCTTGGGCAAGTTACTTAACATCTCTAAGCATGTTTCCTCATGTGTAAAATGTACTAGTAGTGGTACCTGCCTCAGAGGCACTTATGTGAGGATTTAGTGAAAGACCATGTGTAAAACACTTAGCACAGTGCCTGGAATATAGCCACAGCTCCATAGCTTGAAGTGAAGATGATAACGATGACAAAGATGCTTGCAAAGAGTTAACAGGAGGGATGTTACTCTGTGGGTATTACTTGAATTTTTATTTATTTATTTATTTTTTTAAAGATTTTATTGGGGAATTGGGGAAGGGGAACAGCGCTGGGGAGTTGGGGGAAGGGGAACAGACAAGTTGCTGTTGTTTTGTTCTTCAGTCTAGTTGTGGACATTGCTTCACTGGACCAAGTTGGCATCATCATTGCGCTCTTCCCGGGTGAGGCAGATCAGTTGCCGGCTTCTGGATGGCCACTCACTGCGGCTGCTGGCCGCTCACGCTGGCTGCTGGCTACACACGGCAGCCCATGACAACCCACTGCCGCAGGGGCTGCAGCCTACGCCTTCCCAGTGACTCACAGCAGCCCAGCTCCAGGTCGAGCTGTTGTTCAGCATCTTAGCTGTGGAGGGCAGTGTCACTGGCCCTCATATGTGGGATCTGAACCGGGGCCCTCTGGCGTCCCAAGCCAGTTCTTAACCATCGCGCCACTCGGCCGGCCCTTGAATTTTTTTAATCAGTGACTTTTTTGTCAAAATTTCATAGCAGAAAATATTACCATGGCTATTTCTATTTCTAAAAATTTGATACTGCCTTCCAGGGTGTGTTTTATGACAGATGGTCAGCAGCTAGTGGTAAAAGGGGTATGGAATGTAATAGTGTTTCATTTATTTATGGGAAATGTTTTACTGCCCCACCCTTCAACTAGTTGGAAAATGGAAATTAAAAACTGGAAACTCTATTTATAAATGGACAGTGCCGTGATCTCAGTGTCTGAAATTGTAGACTTTTAGAAAATATTTATAGCATATTGGAAACTAGTCACTGATCAGTTTTCTCCTTCCCCAGTTTTTTTTTAACTAATCCAAAAAATATGAAATTTGAGCTAAATTAAAATTTAATACTGAAATATCATCAGAGAAAATTAACTATATACTATTTTATATCAGCCTTTAAGAGAAGATGATGGAGCAAAAAATGATTAACTCCTTTTTTTTTTAAAGATTTTATTGGGGAATTGGAGGAGGGAACAGCATTGGGGAATCGAGGAAGGGGAACAGACAAGTTGCTGTCCTTTTTGTTCTTCAGTCTAGCTGGAGGACATCGCTTCACTGGCCCATGTTGGTATTGTGATCATTGCGCTCTTCCTGGCTGAAGCAGATCAGTCGTTGGCCATTGGACGGCCGCTCATGGTGGCTCACAGCAGCTCACACTGGCTGCAGGCCACTCACAGTAGCTTACGGCAGCCCACTGCAGCCTACTCCGTCGCCGTCGACTCATGTCAGCCCAGCTCCAGGCAGGCTGTTCACTATCTTAGCTGTAGAGGGCGCAGCATCACTGGCCCTCATGTGGGATCCGAACCTGGGCCCTGCTGCTCAGAGCTTGCACTCCCAAGCCAACTGTTAACCAATGAGCCACTTTGGCCGCTTGATTAACTCTTATTAATAGAGGTATTTGAAGTCAATAGAGATATTTGTTAGTGGTGCCTTAAAAATAAGCTAAATGAATGAAAATATAATACATTCAAGGAGATACTGAGGCCATGTCTACAATGCACTGAGGAAACCATTTAGCAGAGTGGTTTGGAGTGGAGAACTTGGTAGTCAGTCTGCCTGAGTTCCAAACCCAATTCTATCATCTGCTTACCCACTTGTAATCTTATAACTCACGTAACTGCAGTGTGCCACGGTTGTGTCTATATCATAGTATCAAGAATTAAATACATGTAAAGCATTAAAATAGTATGTGTCACATAATAAATGCTCTATAAATGCTAGCGTCTGTTATTCTAACTGGCCTAGTCCAACCTCTCCCCCACCAAATAACCCCAGTTTGGTTGTTATGGACATGCATGAAACATGCCCATTTCACTGGTTTAGAGGTACCGATAGTTCTCTGTCATTAAGTGGTCAGTGTGAACAACATTGTTCAGTTTTTTTTCTTTACCTAATTCTTTGTCTACCATAACCACTAATGTATGCTTGGGCAGGCAGTGAGCATTGTGCAGTCAGGACCCTTGAACAGTCCCATAGGTGCCTACCTTAAAGATGCTAGTTAGAGAGCTTTCCTTTGTTCTTATCAGCCTGGAGACCAAACATTTGCCATAATAAAAACACCCCTTATGTTGGTTCACCTAAAAACAAGGAACTTGTGTTGATCATCGAAAAATCACTTACCGTGAACATCATCAGTCATTATGATTCAGAGATTTACATTTCACAGATGGAATCAACAGTCTAGTGAAGATAGTGTTGCTTATACAGCTAAACAATGTCATCTGCCTGACCGAAAAATAAGGAAAATTCTTAGAAAACAGGTGGCAATATATCGTTTTTATATGCAGTTTGTAATGAGTAGACTGTATGACTTAGCTATATTTGACACTGATAACTTCTAAAAAGAGGCTCTTGCATGGGAGAGAGTATAATGCCTTAGAAATTGAAGTTATAGCTACATCACTGTATGTCAGAAGAGGAACTCTTGCCAACAAGAAGAATGGATAGGAATGTTAATATTCCATTGTATCGCCATATTATTCTTATAGCTGTATCTCAGGTTCTAGACTTGTATCTGTGATTACATTTTTTTTCCATGTCTGCAGCATCAGGATTTACATTTTGCAATGAAATTTGTTGTTTGAAGTGACCAGCTTATTCAACACTTAACATATCCCAGACACTGTGCTAAGTGCTTTACATATGTTGCCTCATTTAATTTTCATAACAACCCTGAAAGTAGGTACTTTTATCCATAGTCTACTAGTAAGAAAAACAAGGCTCTAGTTTACTTAGCCAGTCACTTGTGGAGTTCAGATGCAAACCCCAAATAGCTGTGCTCTTCAAGACAATGCTGTTCTGCATATGAGAATGGGACCTTCAGAACTGGTCAGAGGTAAGACCATAAACCATTGGAACAATTGACATTGCCCACTTTCTCGTGCTTTAGTTGTATGGAAATGAAACTTCGGAAGAGTATAATACAAAAAATAATAATCAAATGGTACCATATTTGTAGCATTACCTATAGATACATATGAAAGATAGAAGCTAACACATGTTGTAATATAGCAATGATCAATCACATAAGCATTTTATGAACTTGATGAGACCACAATTTATTCTACAAGATTATAGTGATCACACAGTTAATATTACTGAAAACTATGTAATGAACATACAAAACATTTTTTTTTCTCCAACCCACTTACCTTTGAGGAAGAAATTGTATCATATGCTAACACTTTTGTTTTGCAAATGATACTGTCAAGAAAGCAAAAAGACAACCCATAGAATTAGAGAAAACATTAACAAATGCATTTGATAAGGGACTTGCATCCAGAATATATAAAATAATGGTGATGGTAGTTGAAGTTTTTTGGTTTTGTTTTGAATTAATTTTATTTTGTTTTAATGTTTCCTTAGTTGGCAAATATATGTTGCCAGTCACAACCCAGATTTTTTGAAATTTTATGGTCCTTAAAATCCCAAGCCACTGCTGTAGACAACTATCTGTGAGTTTGGAGTGTGGATATTGGGCCATCTGAAAACATGGCTTCTTGGTTATATCAGAGGCCTTAACTGGTTATTCAGTTGTGCACAACCCCAGGGTGGTAGCAATACTTGGCAACCTTCTGTTGAATTATCAAGTTGTCCTCAGTACTCTCCCAACAATTGAGATTGTGTCTAATAACTTCTTCCATAAGGCTGAGTATATACTAGCAAAATGACCTGAGTACTCACATCCCACAAAAATCTGATGCTGTTTATGCTCCCAATTGTTTAAGAACACTATTTTGAGAGTCATACAACCCATTATTTGGGCAATAACTTACCTTCCTCATCTGTAACATGACAGTGTTGAACTAAGTGATCTCCAGGGTTTTTTTCCAGTACTAATGTGATTGCATTTATAAATACACTTTCTTTTTTTATGTTGAAGAGGTTAGGCTATTTGACATTTATTTGTATTGAATATATGTTCCATGTTGCAAATCTGGATATGGGAGACATTAATTTTTCTCACACAGTCTAATATTTAAAAGGCATTTTGCATCTGTAATATGGATGCTGCCATCTTGGCGGATGCTCTTCATTTCCCTGTGAGGGTTCAGTATGCAGTCTCCACAGGATGACTTAAGTTCTCATTTAACTGCTGTAAAGCATGGTCGTGTTTAAATACAGCCACACTGTTTATTGCAAAAGGTCACAAGCCTTGTTTTTTTAAAATTGTCATGTGCTTGGCATGGAAGTTCTTATGTAAATATTCAGTCACTGTTATAATGTAGACAAATGATGACTACTTGAAGGTAAATGCCTCCACCATCGATTTTGGAGGCCTAAATTCATGACAAAGTTAACTGCAGGTTTGTTACTACTTACAAATATAGCGATAGGAAGTATTAAAATCATTCATACCCATTTGATAGAGGAAATTAATGTTTCCTAAAAACATTCTTTTCTAGTGAAGGAAGCCCTTCCCCCAGAGTGGAGCTGCTGCATAACATCGACCCAATCTTTGTGGACGTTTCTCCATGTGAGTATCTTGTTCACTGCTGCTACACTCAATCTTTTGGCTCACAAAGACAGTTTTGTTACCTCGTATGTCTCTAGCCTTTCTCTTTTCCCACTTGACTTTGCTATAAAGGTAAACAGTTGTCCATGGCACCTGTTGTCCTAATCTCACTGTGGCTTTGGTGCCACAGAGGGTGAATTCAACTGTTGACTGCCACTTGCTAGCTGGAAGACCTTTACGCCGTTTCACTCTCCACACCTCAGCTCTCCCATCTATAAAAGGAGAACCCGTGGACTCAAAAGGTCCTTCTCATTGTACCTGTCATGCTGTTGTTATCCTGTTCTTACCTGAGAGCTCCAGCCTTCTTCCAGAAAACTCAAGGTCCAATAAGCCACCACATCATCTGCTCGAGCTGGTCAGGTGCGTCCCAGTCCCTGCAGTGTCTCACAGGCCCAACCTACCTAGCAATCCTGGAAGTAATTTAGCTTCTTTCTGCCTACTGCCTCAATGAACCCATAGGGAGCCCTGTTAATTCTTCAGAGAAAGAGGCCATTTAGTGCTCTCAGATCACAAGAGACTATAATAATCCTGTATAAATACCATGCTAGCATAGTGAGTCCGGGCTTGGAAAGCATTACCTATCACATCTTCAGGGCACCAGATATCATGTCTTCGAGGCCCCACGTTGGGGAGCCAGATATCACGTCCCGCGTGACAAGGGCTGGGAGGCTCGAGAAGGGGCGGCGAAGGGTTAAGAAATCACAAGAGTCAAAAGTAGAGTTTCTGCGGGGGCCAGGGGTCTTGTCTCTTCAGACCGAGAGAGGGAGCCCTGATACTGGCGGGCGTAAAGCTTTTATTTACAATGGTCACCAAGAGGTCAATTTGAATATCTATACCCAGTTAATTGATTCAATTAGACTGGCAGCTGCTTCACCGAAACTCATTGTGATTAAGCACGAGTTGTGCTTTCACACATGCGTATGATCCTCGGGATGGCATCAGCATTCCCAGACCACCTGATAAGGAAGTTTTACCGAGATCATTCCCTCGTGTCTTAGCATTCCAAGACACTTCCTTATGGCTTCAAAGGATCAGTGCACAGGAGCATTCAAGTCGGCAGCTGCAAGGTGACAATTATCTATTACGCCCTTCGCCTAGCTTCCATCATAATGCTCATCTAGAGACTGTCTTCAGAAAACAGTGCTCTTACATTCCCTTCACTCACTTGGTGCTGATATCCCCTCCTTTCTAAATATACTGCTACCCCCTTCGCTCAGGCTCTCTTACTTCTTTGTCCTTTCCAGTTTGTGCTGCAACCTACCACAAGATTTCCCTGCTCACAGAATGACCCACGGTAATTCTGAATGTGTCATTGGGCTCATTCTCTCCAGTTCACCTCTCCAGCCTCACTCCAGGCTCCCTGCCATCTTCTTCCCCTAGGAGACACTTGCCATGTCTAAGCATGCAGATCGTCACACTTATATCTTGATATCCTTTTCCCTCTGCCTGAAACACCTTTCCCTGCCTCTCCACCGTGTTTCTTCATCCCTTAAAACCCAGCCCAAATGTCCCATCCCTGAATGCTTTCCAGAAGCCCAGAAGAAGCAGCCTTCCTCTGTATGCCCCTTGGTATGTATCTCTCTAGAGCTTTTATCAAATTCTCTAGTATGTGTCTTCATTACCCACTAAGCTGAGAGTTCCTGGAAGTCAAGATCTATGTCTTATTTATTTTTTCATCCTCATAAGTTAACACAAATACCCAGCACTTGGTAGGCACTCAATAATGATTACTTGATGATGGAATGGAGGAGAATGGGGATAGACTAAAGACCAAAGTAGAAACATTAAACTTGAAAAGGAAAGGGTCCTGAGACAGGAAGGGATGGCTGTAGTAGGGAGAAATTTCTATTTCTATTGAAGTAAAGATGTCAATGAGAGAGGCAAGGGAAGGGCAGTCCAATGTGGTAACCACTAGTTATATGTGGCTATTGAACACCTAAAATATGGCTAATTGTGGATTGAGGCATGCTGTAAGTGTAAAATACACATTAGATTTTGAAGACTCAGTAAGAAAAAGTATAATATATCATAATATATATTTACTCTTTATTGAAATGGCATACTTTGGATATGTTGAGCTAAATGTGTTATTACTATTAATCTCACCTGTTTCTTTTTTTTTTTTTTTTTAACCAACCCTGCCACCTGTTGGCAGCTCAGCGGCTGCTCAGCTCGGGCTGACTCGAACCGCTGTTGCTCAGAGCTCAAACTCTTGAGCGAGCTCTTAACCAANCAGCGGCTGCTCAGCTCGGGCTGACTCGAACCGCTGTTGCTCAGAGCTCAAACTCTTGAGCGAGCTCTTAACCAACTGAGCCACTCAGCCGGCCACCTGTTTCTTTTTTAATGTGGCTAATAGAAAATTTTTAATTACCCAGGTATTTCTATTGGCCTAGAAGGATTATTCTAGAAGGTGCTGGGAAATGCTTTGATCAGCTGTGTAAAAGGATCGCAGACCATGATAGTTACTGTGAGCCTACTACATCCATGGTTCTTAAACTTTTCTCTGCCCTAGTATGCCTAAGGGATATGACACGTTCTAGTCTGTAACTGGCTCACTAGAGCAGTGATTCTTAACCAAGGGCCAGTCATACCCGAATCTCTCAGGGTGGCCAGAAGGGAATAGAAGGGAGGCAGAGGCAGGAATGGTTTTTAAAACTTCTGAATAATTTAATGCACTGCATAAGCCCAGTATAACATCCAGGGATGTGCTGAATATGCAGCCCACAATATAATAGTTGTAAACTGTCCTTACCTACTGAGTCCCACCTGCAAATGAAAAGCCTTAAGCCCCCTTCACTCACTAAGATGTATTTTGTCTTGGCATCAGAAATGGGAGTTTATGAAGTCTATTCCTATGTAACCTGGCCATAATGCTGCTTGCTGCAGGGTTCTTTGTCTAACCTGCTGTGATTTTCACTGTCTTCCCTCAAGTGTCCCTAGCTCCAGTGTAAACGTTAATAAGGGCCTGGAAATCAGAATAGAGAATTGTCTTAGTTTTGCCACCCATAGACTATAAGGTCTTGAGCAAGTCCCTTCATTTTTCTGGGAGTCAATTTCCCATATACGTATTAAATGATGGACTTACTAAGACCCTTTATTGCTGTCACAAAATCAAGGACACTTTCTGGCCTTCTGCTGTACCTTTCCCCCTCCTTGAAGCCACTCTAGGTCTTCCTGGTGGCCTTCCCTGCCAGCTGGGGACTCTTGTCCTGACTCGTGCATGTAATGACATTGCCATAGAACCCCATTCACTGTCCACAAAACATCAGGCAGCATTCTCTACTGTCTGTGCCTGCATGTAGCAAAGTGCCACTTCTTCCTCATGCAAGGACCTGTTCTCTTGGCTTTTTCTGTTCATTTCAACTCACTGTGCAGCACTTGGAAAAAAGACAGCTATCTTTGGGGGCCTGCTCCTTTATAGGATGATGGTACAAGCCCATTTCCTTTCCTGTGCAATTAATTTGTAGGGAAAAAAATAAATCCAGCTATAGGAATATATGTATTCATAGGACAGCCAAGTCTGCAAATCATATTCATAGAATCTGTTTTATGAATATGTTCTGTCGGTTTGGGGGGAATGAAATCAGAAAGCAGCCAATCTAGGGTATAAATTAAGGATTGACAATTGAGTCATTGTTATCACAGAACATTTCTTTGCTTTCTAACTCTAGCACTTCCCAGGTTATGTGTACTTACTTAAGGCAGAAGGGGTAGTGTTTTACTTCCACCTTTCCAAAAGCCACATTACCAGTGTCCTCACCTGTGAGGTGAAGAATTAAATGATGTCTAAATTCCCTTCCCCCTTTTAACATTCTGTGGGTCTCTATGTAAATAGGCCCTTAAAGGAGCAAAGCTGCTTACTCGGTTTCTCTCCTTTTTCACCCTGCCAGAAAGGGTGCACTCGTTAATAAGCAGTGATGTAGCCAACAGCATGGTCATAAATAGGTGAATATAACAGAAAATGTTAGAAACATTGAAAGTGCTAGAGTCATTTGGATTACTATATGATTTTGTTATTACTATACCTGGCCCACCTTTCTAATCCCTATTCTAAAACACACTGCATCAATCAACTTTTCCTACATAACCAATCTCTCTCCTTAGGTGGGTATTGTTGGGTGTGATGGGCCAGTGTCCCCTTCTGTCATGAATCATAGCAATAGATGTTAGAAGTTTCCCAGGGAAGCCCAGGGCCCCTCAGAGGCCCACCTCTTGGGCTTTAGCACCTACATCCCCTTCCTTTTATTCTAAGCATATAAGGCGCCCCCAGAGGCTCTTCTTACTGGGGGAGTTAGGGTTGTTTTCATGGTCACATACCCTTGGTAGGTTGTGGCTAGAAGTACCCTCGGTCCTTTTTTTTCCTTACCAGTAAAAACAATAAAATGTACATGTTCACTAAAAAGAAAAGAATACAGTATTGTGGCATTTAAGGGATATTAAAGCCCTCTTTTCTTGTAGAATATATCTTGATCTTTCAGAATACTGTTTTAATAACTGATTTCTAATAGCTCTGTAGCAAATCGTTCCTATTTTATGGTAATGGTCACATAGACAAACTGAGATAAAACCACAAACAAAAACAACCCAAGTAATATAAGCAACAATTGGGTCCTCCCAGACATCCTCAATAGAATAACATATAATTATAAAGCCCCTGCCTGTGGGTTCAGCCCAGCCTGACTTCCCTTCCAAGGCCAGGCACGTCTTCTTGCTGTTCTCTCTGTGCTCCTGCCTCCTTGGCAAGTTCCCTCTCGTTGTTTCATCAGTCACCAGTCCTCTCGGTGCCTCAAATATGGCTCTATTATACTTTTTCCTCCCCTGTCCCCAGCCCCCATGGCCAGTGTCACACATGTGGGCTGCAAGTACTTCCCTGTGTGCTTTGAGGAAAATACATTCATCTTCAGAGGCTTTGCTCTGAGGTAACCTTGGATGGACCTGTTCTGGGGTCTGTTCAGATAGTA